GGGTATTGAGGAAATGAAAACCGCATGATTGATCAGAATGAAAGTGTGAGAGGTGAGAGAATTGAGTCACCTGAGAACAAATCGGCCGAGTTGTGACGTAGGACCTGGTCAACACGAGCGAGTTGGCGAAGCCAAGGGTTTTGAGCAATGCTGCCTTTGCTCGATTCATGGCTGCTAAACTTTTTCACTAAGAGTCAGACTACACCACAGAAGAAGCCACTGATATCAATTAGGGGATTTCCAGGGTTTAAGCCTTTTCGGGTCAACCCGAATAGAGTTGCGTCCAAATTGGAGCCCATGGGCTTGTCGAAACCAAATGGGGGCCCATGTGTTTTTAAGACTTTCACAAGGAGGGGCCCACCAATGCTGTAGGAACGGTTTCATATGGGCCCCACCCACCTTGAGTATCTTTCACGCGAAGTTGGGTTCGGTTATTAAAGTGAAACCCGGAACCCGCCCTTTTTTTTTTTCTCAACGGGCGTGCGGGGCTCCCTGCAAGTCTAAATACACGTGGCAGTTGGTTATAGGAGAGGAGGCAGGTGGGGTCATGTGTGCTGTGGGTCCAGAAGTTTGCGAGTGCTGTGGAAAGGTTTGGGTAGAGAACTTACGCAACATAACAACGGTGGTCCTTTATTCCTTTTTCAATCGGGAAGCTTACACAAAAATGGCCGTTGTGAGATTGAAAGAGATTAGCCCTTTGATAGAGACATACGTTGCTCTCTTATCTTGAGCCCTTTAGGTGGAGAGTGTCAATCAATTGTCAAGACAAATGGAAATCCCAACTAAATACGAGAAATTTACATGCGAAATATTGTGTCTTAAAAAGCATTATGTTTATAACATACGCTAAACGAATCAAAGTTAAAAATTCAATAAAGACAAATGACGTAAAATCCGAATGACCTAGATATGCAGTAGCATTAGCTGACAAAATAATTCATAGACTAGTACATATTTTGGCATATCATGAGCATAAGCTTAGGTAGGAATAAATTATGATACATATTTTTATCTTTCGTAAAGCAAATCATGGTCTTAACTGTGTCATTATGAAGTTTAGATGGTCAACCACAAGACATAAGTACAATTTCGAGTCTTGACCCAGCTAATATACATGTCTGATATTTATAATTTGATCTCATAAGATTCTGAAAATAACAGAGTGACCCCAAATCAAACACCGAACGTATCAAAAGCAACACAAAAAGAAAATTATAATCCTCTTTTGACATGAACCGACCAAAAGAGAAAAGAGAGAAGAGCCAAAAATTCAAAGACCAACATAGATAAAGATCCTTTTTGATGAAGGGGTTGGCTTTACAAAGAGCTGGGGCACCATGTATGCTTTGCTAGTTTGCTTTGCCTTGAAAAATTTGTTACCCTTCAAATGAATCCCACCTCCAAAACGAAAAATTCCTCCACTGTGCTGTATCTTTTGTTTCTTGGCTTTCCTTTTCCTGTGGAAACGTGCCCCTGGGACTGTTCATTAAAGAGAAAAAACGTGCATGCGGGAATATAAGATTAGGTCTCCACAGTATGCGTGCATCACAATATTTCACCTGTCTCTGCAAATAAAGCCAATTTCCTTGCCACTTCTATATCTATATATATGTATATATCAATGTTTATATGTTCTGTGAGTTCCTCATATCATGCCCTAGCTAGCTACTTCTCTTGCTCTTTTCTTCTCCCTCCCATGACAACCATGGTGGCTGCTTTTGAATTTGTCACATTAAGCATGAAAGTTTTGGTTTTGGAAGTTCAATATTGGAAGCAATTTAAGCTTCTGTCTCAACTTCAAGAGATGAGTGTTTGTTCTTGGAGCTGCCATTTAAAGAAGTTTGAGGTCTCTCCTCCTCCTCCTCCTCCAAGGCCAAGCATAGTGATGTAGGTGTCGATAGCATCGATCCATAATCACGGGGGAATGAAGCTCTCCTGGTCCGATCACCTTCTTTGTTCTGGGTTCCTTTCAGTTTTAGTTCTTCTTTTATATCTTTTTGGCTTTTGAGTATGTGCAGCAAATACCATGTTGCTGTCCTGCATGTTCTCATATTACCTTGTTCCTTGTAAGATTTTTTTTAATTTTTTGAGTACTTTTCCTATTGAGATGGGCGATATTGTAATATGTGTACTAAAACATCCAATATATATATGCTTTCATAGTATGCAGTCGATACATAGCTAGCTTTAATGTATCGGATTTGGATTTGTTGTTATTATTATTTACTTCTGATGTTCATAATTCTTGGTAAAAATACAAAGTCTTTGAAGTCCAGAAGCCATTGAGTATGAAACTGTCAGGTTCTGAATGGGCTTATGCATTCTGCAATTCTGACTTATTAATTAGATAGACTTTAAAATCAACAAGTTGGATTTTTTTTTTGGTTAGACAAATAAACATGCCTTATAGTTCTCCTTCTTGTTCTTCTTAATGGTTTTATCATCATTCTGTTGAGCTAGTGGTTCAGGAGATATCATTCAAATTATTACAAAGCCTGCTTAAAGGGAAGGGCAACTGAGCTGTGGTTTTGTCATTTTTGTCACTGCTACTCTAATTTGGGTGACACTGTAGATGCATATGAAAATCGCATCTAAGCTTTGCCATCTTGAATTTTTTTCATCCAATTTGGGGCAATTTGTCTGCTGTTATGCAGCATATATGTGCTGATTTACCACAATGGTTGGTGCTGCTGGCTCTCTCTTTTTTCTCTGAAAGTTTGACCAACTGTTAGAATCTTTTTCCTTTTACACCCAACACACAAATTGAGCACAACTCAAAGACTGTTTAGCAGCAGTGGCTGGCATATCCCAATAATGAGTACATTTTTCTTTTCTTTCAAATTCTTAAATAATCATGAAAAGCATAGGTTGACTATGAGTTTGTTTTATGGTACTGGTCCCTGGGCAGATATAATTTCCAGCTATGAGATCTCATCTGTTAAAAACATGATAAAGCTTTCTTGAGTACCATAATCATTCATCTTTCTCTACTTTTTTTTTATAAAAAAAATCAACAGAATAATGGTAAATGATATCATGAAATGTGGCAGAAATGTTGTGGCCTTCCTATTTCCCCACCAATGTTAAATATGGGGCAAACTTTCACTTTGGCTGCAACCTTAGTTTCAAGCCTTACATGGATACCAAGTACCATATGGGGCTCTAAACTCATAAAAGTTAAATAGTTATAACGACTTTAGCTTAGCCTTCTCAGCCCCACTCTCTCTCTCTCTCTCTCTCTCTCTCTCTGTGTTAAAGTATGAACATGGAGGCAGAGCAAAGGAAAATTAACATAATATCTTTATTGGTGACAGTGTAAAAAACAAAACAAAATCTCTTTTGAAAGCTTAGTGTTAACAAATTAACAGACACAATTGCCAAAAGGCTATGACTTCTCCCTCATGATTGTCCAGTTGTTCCTGAACTCTACCTTAAAACAATAGTATCTGTCAAAAACTGTCCAAAGTTTTCACTCATAGATCTCCATTGATTTTGACTCCAAAGATTTCCTTTAGCTTCTTTTTCTGTCAAGCTACTGATAGCCCATACCATGAACACCTTTAGCCCAGTCTAAGATTGGACCTCTTCATAATTTCCCAGTGTTTCAGCCCAAACATTCTCTTGGACTAGTTGTGAAGACCTCCAAATGGTAAGGGCTCATCCCAAATAACCCAGAAAACCCAAATGGGATCTCCACTCATATTCTGATGCCTTTAGTTCCTTTTTCCCTCTCTTTTTAGCTTTTGGGAAGTTCCTTTCCTGCCAAGCAAGCAAAACAGCCCCCTATTTATCACTAAACTAATGAGACACTAGTCTCTAATAATAATGATTTAAAAAAACAAAAAAACCCCTTTGATGGGTTTCAATCTTTTAGAACTTAGAGAACAAGTAAATAGATATATGATATTGAGCTGTCTTTATAAGAAAATGCCCCACCACAATCTTTTCAGCTTTGTTGTTTGGCCCTTTTTCTAGGTGTAATGCACCGTCCTGGTCCAAGTCGATGCACTACTCCACCATCCTCCCACACTAAAGCAACTTTTTGTCCAACTTGTTATCGCATGCCTGCCTATCTCCTTCCTGGTTAGGTTGTCTGCTCTGGAAACTGATTCTTTCTTGTCACTCCCTTTTGTTTTCCTAGCTTTTGCCTAAATCTTTGTCATTAAATTTAATCATGTCATTAGTTTCTGTTTCTAGTCAGCCCACGAGTTCGAAAAACCCCAACAAACTTGAATGTAAGAAAATAATAATAATAGTCCGAAGTGTTATTTTCAAGACGAACACGTGTTTGTAATTTGAGTGAGAAGCATTATTAGACAGCTCCTAATGTAAAAGCGAAATGCTTACAAAGAAAGTAAAGTTGTTATCTTAATGGAAGTTCTTTTCATGAACATTTTCTAAATCATAGGTGGCATAATTAGTGTCTAAAATAAGAGGGCACATTTGAAGCTAATATCTTACATTGGATTTGCTAACAGTCAACATACTTGTTTCTTTCCTTTAATATTTCTTCCTCTGAAAAAACAACCAAAACTCAAATCTGACCAAATTTCCGCACGTCATTGACAGTCAGATAAAGTAGCCAAAGTTTAACATCAACATCTTTAGCTTCTTTCAAGACAGCCAAAAGCTTCCATGTGATGCGAAGAAAGGTATTTCACACGAGTCATATAAACCAAGTCCTTTTTTTCCCTTTTCTCTTCTCTTTTCTTTTGTAGTCATTAATTATTTAATTAATTATATTCATGCTGCAAATACATGTCAATGCTCCATGGAAAACAAATATATCATTTTATATAAATAACACTGAAAATAGAATAAAATCATGGTGTTCTCTGTACTTTGGCAAAAGATGACAATTGACAAGTAGTTCTGCAATTAACATGTACAATTATTTAATTGAAATAAAAAAAAGCAATGATGAAATTAAATGGAAAAATTCCACGTGTCAGCTATCCATCAAAAATATTTTGTGTGTCAGGAAAGCTTTCAGTATCAGAGCAGTATATGAGTGAGTAAGCAAAACATCACCACACCCCTTCTCAATCTGAAAGATAGAAACTTTAAGCCTTTGATCCAAACCCATTTACCGTACGGACGGTTTCTAACACTTCTCGCCGGAAAAAGCTGACTTGGGTCGCCGGAGAGTTGATTCCATGGACGTTGACTCGTGGGCTTCCAGGGTTCAAGCAGCCAAGAGCCTCTCTGCTGCCCATGCTGCTCGGCTTCACTATGGTACTTAGATTTTCTTCTTTTTTCAATTTTTACCTCTCATGTGTGCTTCAACATTCCTATTAAAAAAAAATTTGTTTCCTTTTCAGTTTGTCAAGTTCTCTCTTTGTCTGGGTAGAGTTTTGGGAATTGAAGTAAGGGTATTTTACTAGCTGATATCAGTTTCGTTTCGTTGATGTTTAAGTAAAGCAATGGCTTTTGTGAGAGTTGTCAAGAACTGAGTTGGGCTTAAAGCTGAAAACTTGGTCTTTAGTTTCTTGTCAAAGCAACACGCACATTGTCTTGAACTAATTGTTTTGTCAAACCGTAGAGTGTTTTAAATGAACTACTTTACTTGAATTTTCAAATGGGGAGCCTTCTCCTTGGAATTTATGGGTAATTTTGTTGTGGGCATTATCGGAAAATATCATCTTTTAATTAATAAATAAAAGTCCGAAAATTTTGGGATTTCATATCCTTCATGCTAGATAAGGCAATTTTAGAAAGTTGCTAGATTCGTTTATAAAAGCTTTCCATGTGTGTAATATTACAGTAAAGATTTCCTATAAGAAGCAGGGCCATGGAGGAAGATTTTAGTGATAATTCGGGCCCTAATTTTCTTAGAATTAGGGTTGCCTAGAGACCATAGAAAGAAGAAACTCCTTTGATTAATAAGGTGGGGAAGTTATAATTATATTTGAGGCTAATCAACGCCCAAAAAAGAGATTAAGAGGATCTGTCCGCATGACAAATTATACTGAAGATGAAGAAGATACAGAGGATGAAAATTATGAAGAGTTAGTGGATCAAGAGTCGGATCAGCTTAGTAGTTTAAATATAAAAATTTCAGAATATGAGGATTATCTGGATTATCTGGAGAACCTGAGAGAACAGATATTGAAGGAAACAGAAGGCATTTCATCTGCGTCATTAGGTACTGGTTCCTTCACGCTTGAGAGTAAGTGGGAGCGTGATGCTTCTAGTGTTGTCATTCATGAAGGTGAAGGTGAAGGTGAAGATGATGTTGATGATGATGATGAGGAACCAGCTTACAGAATTAGTTGGAATGAAGGTAAGAAAATTAAGGTTTGATAGAAAAACATATGGAGACAAATTACAATTCCATCTTCAGATGGTTGCTGAGCCTGGTTAATTCCTTTGCAGCTTATGCAGTTCATAGATAAGAAGATGAATGTATATTTGTTTAGGCTCTGCCTATTGTCTTCTTGGGCAAGAGTCAAGTGGTGTTGGTCCATATTTAGTCACTAAACACGGCAAAGAGTTCATTTTAGTAGTTTCTTGTGGCCAGAGTAAGATCTGCATGTTGGAGATAGCCTGGGGTGTCTCACTCTGATATATTTATTTACGTGTCTGTGTGTGTGTGCATGCGCCCTTATTTGCATGTGTTTGATCCTGTGATTTGGATATATTAATCGACGTGTCTCTATGAATGTGTGTACATTTATGTCCATACATGTCATATATCTATGTATCGATATTTTATTTTCTATATATGTTAAACAGATAATCATATGGCTTCGGAAGATTCCGAAGGAGATGACGATGCAAAATCTTGTTTTCCATGTCCTTTCTGTTATGTGGATATTGAAGTCCCAATGCTCTGCAACCACTTGGAGGAAGAACACTGCTTTGACTTTAAAAATGCAGTACGTGCTTTTCTTTACCAGACATTTTGTTGTGTGCGATTTAAATGAGATTAGCGTTATCAAAATCATATTCTTGAGTCAATAATGAAACATCTAATCAAGATGGTTCCCATTTTGATTACAAAAAGGATGCTGCTTGAAATTGATAGATTTACTTGGTAAAGTGCATTGAATCATTTAGGGTAATGGTAAATGGGAAGGCCTTCCAGAATTTATACTATTATAAATAAGGGAAGATGCAATTGGAAAATATAAATTATTGCCACCAGTTTATGATGTTTCAGTTAGAATTTGAACCTGATGGCTGCTCTAATCCCGTTATTCCAGGTTTGTCCTATGTGTGCAGCAAATCTAGGGAAAGATGTAATTGGACATTTTATGGTGCACCATGCAAGCTCCTTCAAGGTATTATTGCCTATATTGGATCATAGATTTACAATATAGTTAATATAGTTGAAAAGTTTGTTGATCATGTTGGAACCTTAAAGGAGTCATCTATGCTTTTCAGCACAGGAGAAAATCTCAAAAAGCGGGTATGTGGACTGGTAGTTCAGCAATGCTTGGAAAGGCGCTGCTGAAGAATGGAAGGGCATCTGCACATGAATCTGCACCTGATCCTCTCCTCTCACCATTTATCTGCAATATATCTTTTTCAGACCCTACTGGTATTCAGGAAGATGTTTGTTCCGATATCAATGCCCCTATCACTTCCAGCTTGAAAAGGTATACTCTTGTTCTTTTATGAAAGTACAACTATAAGGTACTAGTGGTCGTGACTCGTGAGTGGGAGATAAAGACAGGGATTGTAAACTTAAGATATCTTAGTTTAACATGCATCAATGTATTATGGACCACCAGAGATGTAAATGCAAATGGGTCTTGTGAAAACCCAGGAATTTCATGATTTTATAAGGTAGAAAATAATTGTTGAAACATCATATATCCCAAATCTATGTTCCAATATATGAAAGATTTGTTGTTTATATGCTTACCAAAGAAGCAATTTTTTTTTTCCTAACCCTATGATGTTTGGTATTTAAGCAAGCCTTACATTGCATCTAAATCTGCTCTTCATTGAAAGTTTCAAATTCTTGAAGATATCTTGATTTTGGGAATCCCTTGAACTATTTATTTATTTAGGCCTAAGTTATCCAAATGATAATTGCATCATCTTTTCTCTTGTTGTCTGTGTTTGTGTCGTAACCACTTATATAATCTTTTGCTTTCACTGATTCTAAAACCAATGAATACTATATAGCTTCGTTTTGTTTGTTCGTATTGGAACTTTTACTTATGAGTTTGTTATCATTCCAGATGTTTGGTTGATGCCTTAACTGCATATATTTGAAAAGTTGCCTAATCATCTGAGAATTATGGGATAGTGCTTTTTATGTTATCTGGGTTCTGTACTTTGTGCTTTTGAAATGTGATGCTATCTTCTTTTCCAACCAACTTCCTTTTTCCCTAAAAGTTAAAGACAATTAATTGCCATCACACCAGTTAAGCAGTTTTCAGTGGGATAGATGAAGATAAATAGGAAACAGGAAACCCTTCCAATATCTGTATAGTTTTATCTTTTCACTGATATGACATGCAAAATCGGTGTTGTTATCCAATAGATTGAACCGCGCTGTTTCCCACCTGTTTCAACAAGATGGAGTAATAGATTGTTTCATTTAAGCTTCAGAGTTTTTCACTTAGTTTTACCTCCATGTTTGCCATTGAGTGGCCAAGTTACTACTTGTTATTGGTGCTCCGTCGGGTAAACCAGGAATGTGAATGAACCATCTATGTGTTATTCATTCCCTTTATTACTCTTGCATTGCCCTCCATTTTTGCTTTGTTGGGTAGTGTCCTCACTTGCATGAATCAGCTGCAAGTTCTACTGGTTTCAGTGACTGGTCTTTAGATATGTGATATGTCAAATAATGTATCTTGGTGAGGGTTTTGCAATGTGAATAGGCCTTTTTATACCCTGTTGCTGATACATTTTGTCTATGCAGTGCTAAGTCATCTTCACCAGATGAAGGCTGTGAAAAGGATAAAGAAGAGCGAAGGCAGAGAGCAGCTTTCGTGCAACAGTTGATTACATCAACCGTATTCTTGGATCTATGAATTCTTCAGAGCACAAAATTTTCCGGAAAAAGCAGAAGACTGATCTTATCTTAGTCACCAAGATCATGCAGTATACACAGTGGGGAATGGTTTTAGGAAGTCATATAGTTTATATATTAGGTAAGATAGAGTAGTTGTCTTTGGATGGGGACAATTAAGGAAATATGTATACACTGTGTACAATCTATCCTTATGTCTATTTATATAAACAGCCTGTTTCAAAGGCTGACTTTCCATAATGAGTAAGGCTTAGCAGATAAAGTATCCATTTATCTATACATGACTACCGAAATTTTGTTGACTACTTTTCAGGCAATGTCGTGAACATACTTTCCAAAGTTATTCACAAATTGTGTGGTACGAGAATACCGTCACGTGGTATAATCAATTAACATACTATAATATGAATAGGAATACATTCTTAGTTTAGGGTGTAGTATTAATATTCAACATTAATTAGTTATATCGCGTTGGTATATTTGGATTGGAAATGCCCAAATCAGTTGATGCATTGATTGTTGGAGTATTAACCAGACCGAATTGGGATCAAATATAGAGTGCAAATTCTTTTTTCATTTTGTGCTACTAAGTCAAACTGGGAGTCGTAATTTATTTTATTTATTGTTCTTCGTGCAACAAAAGATCAAATATTAAAAATTAAAAAAAGCTCTTTCACAAAAATAAAAAAGAGTGTAATATGGAAGCTTAGAATTAGAGCTGGAAATCAGTAGAGACGAGGATATATACAAGTTTCAATATCTTGATTTCACAAGAAATGCCTTGTGTAAACAAAGAGCATGTCCAGAGAATTGTATCTGTGGTGAATAATAACACTCTCAAGTTCACCAAATTCAAGAATTAGGAGCTAGGAAACCAGAGGCAAAAACATGGCAAACAAGCAAATTCCACAGGTTCAATTTGAACAAATCATATGAAGCATCAAGGAGAATTCACGTCGACAGGGAGTGCCCGATCTCATTTTTATGCCAGTGAAAAAGTTTCTGATAATAGGTTCAACCAAAGTCATATTGAATCATCACAAACTTATCATTCAACTAGGCTAGAAACAAGAGCAGAGCACATGGTGATGAACCTACAAAATATATAACATTTGATTGTGGAAATTGCTTAAAATGTCAAAACTAAATAAAATCAAATTGAGTTCAAGTTTGACACCACCAAAAAAAAGAGTGAAGAGCATTTACTGACAAGAAAGCCCTTCTTTCTATCACTCAATTATGGATTGAATAACACCAGCTCCAACAGTCTTCCCTCCTTCTCTGATAGCAAACCTCATTCCTTGCTCACAAGCCACGGGAACTATCAGCTCGACAACAATCTTGACACGGTCGCCAGGCATGACCATCTTGGACTCTTCATCTTTATCATTCATTATGGAAGTCACCTTTCCTGTGACATCAGTAGTCCTCATGTAAAACTGTGGCCTATAACCTGAGAAAAACGGTGAATGCCTGCCACCCTCTTCCTTCTTCAACACATACACAATTGCTTCAAACTTGGTATGTGGGGTAATCGTCCCGGGCTTAGCCAAAACCATCCCTCTCTGAATATCAATCTTCTGTATCCCTCTAAGCAACAACCCCACATTGTCACCAGCCATAGCATCATCAAGAATTTTCTGAAACATTTCAACACCAGTCACAGTGGTGCTCCTTGTGTCCTTCAAACCAACAATGTCCACTGTATCTCCAACCTTAATAGTACCCCTCTCAACACGGCCAGTGGCCACAGTCCCACGACCGGTAATCGAAAACACATCTTCGATTGCTAACAAAAATGGTAACTCAGTCTGGCGCTGAGGAATTGGAATATAGCTATCGACAGAATCCATAAGTTCATAAATCTTATCAACCCATTCATTCTCACCACGAGTGATGGTAGGCTTGGCCATCAAAGCCTCCAAAGCTAACAAAGCAGACCCAGAAATAATAGGAACTTCATCACCAGGAAACTCATAAGAAGAAAGTAACTCACGCACCTCCAATTCCACAAGCTGCAGAAGCTCCTCATCATCAACCTGGTCTTGTTTGTTCAAGAACACAACCATGTTAGGCACACCCACTTGCTTGGCCAGCAAGATGTGTTCTTTGGTTTGTGGCATTGGCCCATCAGCACCAGAAACCACAAGAATCGCACCGTCCATCTGAGCAGCTCCAGTGATCATGTTCTTGACATAATCAGCGTGGCCGGGGCAGTCAACGTGGGCGTAGTGCCGGTTCTCAGTCTCGTACTCGACTGTGGCAGTGTTAATGGTGATTCCACGAGCTCGCTCTTCTGGGGCGGCGTCGATTTCGTCGTACTTCTTGGAAGCGCTGCCTCCAATGGAGGCCAAGGCCATGGTAAGAGCTGCAGTGAGGGTGGTCTTGCCGTGGTCGACGTGGCCGATTGTACCGATGTTTACATGGGGCTTCTTGCGCTCGAACTTACCTCGAGCAGCTTTGACTGTGAAACTGCGGTGGTGGTGGTGGTGGAGGGGGAGAGTGGTGGTGGGCGTGAGGTGGAGGATGGTAGAGGGGTTGAGGAAGGAAGAGGAGAGATGGGTTAGCTTGGAAGAGGGTCTAATGGAGAAAGAGGAGGCCGGTGAGGGCTGAGAGAGCTGAGAGGCATATGGGTAAGTGAGCTTTGAGGAAGCTGAGGCTGCTGCTGCTGTTGAAATTGCCATGGAAGATTCAAGATTGAATCTTTAGAGAGGGAGAAGATAGAAATGGGGATTGGGTGTTGGGGTTTTGGGATAATGAAGGAGGAGGAGAGGACTGAAGAGGGGGAGTGGTGAGAGGGGGAGTGATATGTATGTTATCCTTTTGAAGACAAAACAGGGCCTCATATGGGTGGTCTATCCATTTCTCTGCCTCAGAGTTTTGGAGGGATTAGTCTCGTCGATTACCGGTGGAAATTTGAGAGTTTATGTGCAACCTGTGTTATATGCTCACACGTGTATAGCCCTTCTTCCTCTGATTTAGGACCAAAAAGGTTGGTGGGTTTTACTAACCTATTCTTGGCCCAATTAACATGTTACAAGTTACAACTTATCCATGTACTTAGTTGCCATTTTAACACTCATTTAAACTCACATAATCACAGTTAATGAGTCTAGCTTAGTGGAAAAGGCCTAACTTGCATACCAGTGATCTTAGATTCAAATTCTCATAACACCTTGGTAGTGTATGTGAAAAAACCTCCCTCTTCCTTCCTAACTTTGACAAAAATAAAATAAAAATCACATTGTTCGTATATAAAAGTTATAAAAACACTCGAATTTAAGTGTCAAAAGTTAAATCGTGAGTGCAAAATCGTTACTACTTATGTCTACTGAACTTCGGAAACACTATTTTTGACTTCAGTAGTAGATTACTTATTGATTCCAACACTTATCGAGTTATACTCATGGAAAGAAAGAATTTAAACCTTTCTTTAATTGTAAAGAATTTGTACCTCAAGTAGTGCTTGAATTGAAACTTCAAATGGTTTTCAAATGGTTTTCAGGATTCAATGGAGTGCTATTTTTGGTTGTTGGTGAGAGTCGGTCTAGTCAACAGAGTTATAGAACCCAATTGGGAGCACTTAAACTCATGAACCTGGTTGGTTGTGGCTCAAAAGTATGAAATCGACTGATTGTGATTTGTGTTGATGGTGGCAACCCAGAAAGCCAGACTCACTTTGTGACACGTAATTGATTCAAATACCTTAATTTTTGTGAAACACCGTGGAGTCAACATCTACCATACAAAAATGTTTTCATGAGCGAAGTACCTCAAATTTGGTTGGTGAAAACATTTTGGAACGCAGGAGAACTAGGTTCAATTATCAATGTCATGATGAGATTATCACCCAATGCAACAATAACCCCAAGCACGCCACAACAATAACTTAACCACCAGTTAACCGTCCCTTTTCAAGAGAACAAATAAGTAAAACCCACAAAAAAAAAAATTATAATTAATTTTCACAATTGCTCAACATACACTGATGTGCTCAGATGCAAGAAAGTAAAAGAATTATCTGTACAGGTATAAACTCCATATTTTGTTGACCCCGTATTCTGTAAGTAGGTGGTACGTTGATCTTTAGGCATCATTTCGACTTGTCAGACCGATGTCTTACCTCGGCAGAATCAAATCATTCGTGGGAGTTCATGTACCGGATCATCAGGGCTTCAGGGGTCACTCTAAAAGCTGATCTAGATGACAAGCATGATTGTCCTCCAGGCTATGACTTGCAGCATCTATATTACAAATCTCTCTCTCAATATCCATCCAGCTGCATAAAATACAGCTACTAGTTCAGGCTCCCCAACTTTACCTAAGTATAAAACATCTCTGTGATTTCTATTATCTGTCAACCGCACAACTAGTGCATAATCTATATATCAAGCACTGGAATTGGAGACATGACAGGGCCAAGAAAAGCTGAATTTGCAAATTGCTTGGTTTAGCAGTCTGCCTCATAAAGCATTTTGTAGTCTGGAATCTTCATCTTACATATATCTAAAACCTTTTGACAGAAAACCGGGGGTATTTCCTTCAATACGTCTGATATTGTTAATTCATGTTTCCTCTTGAGCTTGTCTAACTCCTTTTTCTGTTCTACCAATAGATTCTCAAGTTTCTCAGCAATGATCTTGACTTCTTCTGATTCAAATGGATGAGCTCCATTAATAATATGTAGATCAGTAGCTGCACTATGACCACCACCATTTGGTGAATCAGAGGCAACAGCACAAGTTGGATCATCTTCCTCTCTAAGGCTACCAGGAGATTTTTCATCATCCTCAGGACCACTATTTGGTGAATCAGAGGCACCTGTGCCGTTTGGATCGTCTTCCTCTCTATTGCTACCAGGAGAATTTTCATTGTCTTCAGTACCTCCTGCAATGACCGAATCTGCTGGAGAATGCAAGTTAGAAAACCCATGCTTCCCTGGAGAATTTCCACTACCTTCCTTGGGTGAGTCAGACCAGTACTTGCGACCTGAAGGCAATCTTTCTAGTGCAAGATTACTAGAAAGGATGGCCTCATGTACCAAGGCAGAAGCATCATCCTTAGACTCAGAAACTGGGCTATATGGAGTTGAGACCTCAGCATCAATGTTATCTCCAGAAATTTCACTGGATGTCCAATCTGGAATGTGGGATTGGATTTCAGCATCAATAATTTCAGCAATTGTTGTGACATCTTGATCTGTTAGGTCCAACTCTTGAACCATTTCACTAGCAACAGCAATTGCAGTATCTGCCCCAATGTCAAATGGGAAGTGGATATTTCGAAAGTGACCTGGGGCCAGGTGGAAAATATCTCAATTTAAGAGCAGGAACTGGAATTAAAAAATACTTCTTTGACTGAAAATTAAATAAAATGGAAAAGAAAGAAAAGGTAACCTGTCGAATCTGCTATTCGTAGTTTCAGAAATATTGTGTCATCTTTCCTCTGGCCTTGCACAGTGAAGTCTTTATTCGTCTCAGGAGAAGGGTCCATATCCTTTGTTCCATTATCAATCTGATCAGAACTGCCTTCTGCATCTAACATGTCACAATGTGAGGAGAATAAGACAAAAAGCCTTTGAGCTCTGGAGAAACAACTTGCTCACCTGAATAATGAGTTTCGGGTCGTAGAGAACGAGATACACTTTCACGATCCTGATCAGATTGGAGAAAAGGATCCATTAGAAGTTCCTTGGCAGGCAAACGATCAGAGACTTTCGTGATGCACTTTTCTATAAATGCTTTAACTCCAGGATCTGTCACTTTCGCCAATGATGCTGGCTTTATTCCCTACCCAAACGGAAAATGAAATGATATAAGGACCATGTTAGAATATAAAATAAGCATTGGCCACAATCCTAACAACTTAAGCCTTGGGAACAGTGGCAAACTAACAAAACTTATGCTGGTCCCAAAATAAGCGATGTTGAGTTCGAATTCGTATAATTGCAACCTTTCAGGGTTGTTTGTATAATTATCCCTAGAATTTCAAGCATTAACTCATATCAAAAAGCCAAATGGGAAATAACATACATTTTCAACATCTGAAATTTTGCTGAAATTTGACAAACTAGTGTAGAAAAATTTGCAGACTGAATGTACATGTATAAAACTACCCCAACACTTTAAATATGTAGAAATTCACAATACCGATTGAATTTTCAATCCCAGCGCTTCAAAATCCACTACAATTTAAGCCAAATAGTAGGTCTAGTGAGACTAGCAAAACAACTGAACCATGCATCACAAAATCAAAAGAGACGAATCATTCATCACAATCAAAAGAAATGAATGATGCATCACATATGGAAAAATTACATTATCTACAACAATTGAGAGTCTGACAGATCCTGTGATTGCACATGTTGAAACTTTCAAAATGATATAAGTTTCAAGTACGAGAAATGCTCTCAATTATGATAGCAAAAACAAACAACCAACAAATTTAATGGAACAATACAAACTGTGTATCAATTTAAACGGGGTAATGGTCATGAAGCCCTTACTGATGTCACTTTCTTGAATATTTGAGCAGCATTGGTACATTCAACATATGGATACTCAAAGGTCACCAATTCTAACAAGCACATGCCAAAGGCATAAATGTCTACTAGCTCATTGTATTCCTCTTCATAAAGCTCTGGCGCCATAAACTCTGGAGTACCTAAAGTGACAGAAACAGTTACATTGTCAGCTCTGAATCCAAATATTCTGCACTAGCACCATTGCAGAAGGAAAACATAGATGACAATTTTATTTATAAATCCTCACCGATAACACTATGAGCTGAGCGAGCCTGGCGAAGAATAGCAGCCAGTCCTAAGTCACCAATTTTCACCTCACCTTGGTTCCCATTGACAAAAATGTTGTCACACTTCAAATCTCGATGGATAACAGGGGGGTCGTGATTATGAAGATACCAAAGGCCTTCTAAAATCTGCCTAGACCATTTCTTCAACGCCCTCAAATCAACATGCTTATGCTTTCTCCGGTATCTACATTATAACAGACACTAAAACACTAAACAAAAGCATAAATAAATTACAAATATTGAATGTTACAGACAATAGATCATTGAAAACTCACTGCCGCAATGTTCCTGAAGTGAAGATCTCCGTAATAAAGTTGATATTCTCATGCTTGGCATCGACCCACGAATTGTAAAACTTAATTATGTTCTTGTGCTTTAAAGTCTTAAGCAAATGAACTTCTGAATAAAGCCGCTCTAAATCTTCAGAGTTGCGTAATAGATCTGCCACTTTAACCTGATTCCAAGCTACTTCTATTCCTTCCAATTCATCAAAAGCTCGATATCTAAGTTTCCACATATCGATCAAAGACACACAAAAAAGATCTACAACACACTTGGACCTCAACAGAATATTAACTAACAATGGTTCAAACAGCATTAAGCATCCAACTAAAAATCTAAACTTAACATTCAAAAACTGAAAAATAAAAAAGAAGAGGGAAAGGATACACTTTCTTGAAAGCCCCTTTTCCTAGAATCTCTTTATACTGCAAATGACCAAAAACAAAGAGAATTGATTACTGATACACAGAACCAATACAAATCAACCCAAATGACAACTTGATGAACAAAAGCTTAAGACTTGAGAGCATTGAGTAATTTCCAAACATATGAGAAGTGGAGCAGCTAAATCAAATCAATGAACACCATACCAAACAAATAAAAAGAAGGAAACAAATGGAAAAAGAAAAAAGGAGAGTAATTTAAGTAACGACTACTGACCCGACCGTATCGACCAGTGGGATCAACCTCCACGAACTCGGCATCAGCATCGTCCGTGTCTTGGTCCGACGACAAATCCTGTGGCATTCTCGAGACTCGTTCGTCTTCCAATCAAATCGAACTCAGAAATGCAAAATGATCGTATTCGGATCGACCCGAAACCTCAATTTCGTCGTTAGGGGCCGAATCAAATATTGAACCGACCCAAATTCAAACCCGCGAAAAAGGAACCCGAAGTTGGAGGTTTCAAGTATGAAGAAGAAGAAGAAGAAGACAGAGAAGCGTGCGTTTGCGGAAGTGAGGAAGGAGGAGAGAAGAAACGTGGGAGAGAAGCCGTTGGATTGGCAGAGACAGAGCAAATGAACCAACAAACAACTGAGCGTCCTCTCTCTCGGCTTTAAATTTATTTATTTAATTCTGATTTTCTTTTTCTTCTTCTGAATTTTGGGTTTAAAAGGTCGGCTTTGGGGTCATGTGAGAGTAATGTGCTACGCGCGTTTCTTCAGCTTACTTTCGCACCTTAAATTGCTATTAGGGATCTTTGGATCTTCCAACGTAGATTCTTCCTAATCACGATCCAACGGCTGAAAAACTTTAGAATATGATCGGAGTAAATTCTACAATTTTCCTACCAACAATTAAATTCTATTGATAGAATTTATTTTTTTTGGGTTAATATTTAGTTTCATTAACATAAAAATATATATTTTATTTTATTTTATTAAGGAAATAGACATATCGTATATGTCATTTAAAATTACTTTGCTTATAAAAGAGGTTTTATAGTAAGCTTACAAAATACTACATAAAAGAAAAAAAGTACACATATTAATTTTATTTTAAAAAATCGTTATCTCTATCGCTCATGTGGATAAGTTGACCGAGACAATTAACCCGCCCCTTACACCAATAAATAAATAAATATCATTCTATCGGCCACACAAATCCAAAGTTGAAATATGTACAAATTTTTTTTTTTTTTTTTTTTTTTTTTTTTTTTTTTTGCATATATATAGTAATTGTAATTTACAAATAGAGTAATGCTATTTGGACACACAACATTGACACACTTAGTGATACCCTCAGCGAATGATATATTGACACATCAACAGATGTCAATGTTGTGTGTCTAAATAGCATTTCTCTTACAAATAAAGAACCTAAAGAAACTACGTAATCATTAATCCAGTGTATTGTTGTGAGTCAACACCAAAAAAGATCTACCGTTCATAATGATGTGACACATCTAGATAGACTACTATTTGGGGTTGTTGAACTTTTATTCCACGATATTTCAGTGGGCAATTAATTATACTATAATTTATTAATAATTCTCGTCATGTTAGATTATAAAATAATTTTCATGAAAAATCTTTTAACCAGCAACATTTTTTTTCTTTCTTTCTAATTTCACCACGAAATAAGCTTTTAAATAGGAGAAAAACTGATTGCGATGGGGATAGCTCTATTTTGATATATCTAACTAATAATACTATGATATGTGAAAATTTGAATAGCAAAATAGTTATATTCCCGTTTCATAGAAGTCTTTCTCAACCAAATTGGCACTTGGTTTTAGAGACGTGTCATGCAACAGCAGTATATATTCTTATCCATAATTGTAAGAAAATACATAAAGAAAACATGCACAATTTGACCAAGGAAGGAATTAGAATAATAAACTCTTAAAAGTGTTATTAAATATATTAATATAGCATACCTCCCCACGAGAACTCTTGCAGTAGTTGACAACTTGACATATTTTTACATGAACCATCAAACCAGATTGTAAGAAAACAGAAAAGAGAAACAAAAAACAGATTATTGGTATTTGCTATTTCAGAAAGGTTGGTGCTTGGTGTCTTAGTGCTGCTGTCCATTATGGAAAGCATTTTAGTTGTACATCCACAACCAACCACTATGTCTGCCATAATATTATTCATTAATTATAAAAAAAATAATGCAATCATACAAAGTAAAAATAATATTACACTGCTGGCACATTTAATCTTCCATGGCCAGACTTATTGTATGCAAACCCAGCAATCTGGACAACATATAATCCAAACATGTGCGAGGAAGTAATAGGGTTCATGTTGAAGAAAATAGTATACTTGAGTACCAATCACATTTATGCCAACTTGATAGCATTCTTCAACCTGAGTGCATAATTTTAACATTGTAAAGTAGCAATTCCGGTAAATTTCCCGGTATTCAGTTGAACCCTAACATCTACCAGGCATCTCGGATTCTCAAAGACTTGCTGAAGACTCACAAACTAGTAACATGATCAAAGAAAGCAAAAAATGAGGAAAAGAAATCACCAAAATTTTGCTAGATTTCTGAACTAAGTCATACATGGACACCATCTTTGTCAGGGAAACATCTTTTTTATCTCACTAGCCAGCCATATAGATTACTACTATTACTTCTTAAGTGCATTCATTTTGTCCCTGATATAGTACAGCTTGGCCCTCCGCACTCTCTTCTTGTCCAGCACCTTTATCTCCTTTATGTTAGGGGAATACCTGCCATACATTATCCGCTTCTTTAGTCATTGTGTAGAGATTAGTTCTTGGCTTTAGAGTAAATTCATCAGTGGGAAAATAATCCTAAGTAACTGATACATAATTTTAATCATATCATTCTGTAACTTTCTACACTCCAACATTTTCAATAACCATTTTATTACACAATCAACAAATAACTATTCTTTATTTGAGCCAAATCTACAAAGAGTGTAAAAGAGAATAATTTCAACAAATTTAGTGAAAACCGTACGTACAATGTTGTACAAAATACCCATATAATTAGAGTTGAGAATTAACAACCCATTAGGGTAACAATTTAATACACCCTGCGTCCTGGGCATCCAGCTAAAGATGGTTTTCTTTCCAACTTAAAGCAGTGAGTCAAAGATAATACAGACTAGGGCCATATACAATTATGAGAAATGAACAGAACTTCTTACAGTGGAAGGAGAGATTCAACCCCAACCCCAGACATGAGCCTCCTGATTCTAATTGTAGTGTTCAGACCAGCATTGCGTCTTGCTATCACAGTGCCTTTCAAGATTGAAACACGTCGCTTATTGTCGGGTACTTCCTGTTTACGTATGGAGAATTATTGAGAAAGAATATATAGCCTTAATCTCCTAAAATTCCTCCGTAACACAAAGAAAATTATAACACCATCTTCTAAATGAGAACATATCATACCACTCTGAGTTGCACAATATAACCAGGCTTTATTTCTGGTATTTCTCTCTGCACCCTCACTTCCTCTAGAGCTTCCTTGTCTAGAATCTGTGAAATACAAAATCAACAAATATAATAACAGGAAGACTACATACACTATTTCTTGTCATGAATACCAACAGATAGATGCATACCTGCATTATGTGCTTGGCAGTTTTATCAAGCCTCTTGAATTTGATGCGGGGAGCTACATCAGACCCAGACATCGTTGAATCTTGAGTAGCCGATTCAACAGGATTTACCCCTGTTGTAATGCACCTGCTGGGCAAAGGAGGTGAAACTGTCTCCCGTGGAAGGAAGCCTGGTCGAGGACTCTTGAATAACATGGACTTACTCGAGGATGTTGATGTCTCAGTTTGAAAGCCCCTTGTAGTCTGGTAGAATAATGCTACGAGTGTCATAAAAGTGTCTATATTTGGAAAGAGAGACAATGAATTGCTCTTCAGATGAATTCTACACTATATAACATAAAAAGGTTATGACTTAAGACCTTGGTGAACACTGCCAATTGACATTCCACATTATGAAAAGTAAAATGCAGAATGACCTCTCAGCTTCAATTGCTTCAGTGCATCAAGTACCATTAAAAAAAAACTTCTATTTTTTTACTGAATCAACAGCAAACCATTCATTTATATAAAATGCTCTATCCAAATGTAGCCAGCTATAAAAATGTTCAACAGAAAACAAAGAATATATTTTTTCTAAAGGGCTAAACTCACAATTACATACACATTCAAAGTAAAATTGACAAGTATAAACATATTCAAACTAAAATTCGCAGCTACAAACATGTTCAAAGTATATTCTTTAAAGTAAAGAACTAATAAACATGTTTAAAATGCTATCAGAGAGAGTATAACGAGTCGAAACATACGAATGATGCCGAAGATCGATAGGGGAACTTGGAGAGAGACTGAAATAAGGAACCTTTGGAAGACCCAAACCCCAATGAACTCTCAAATATCTTGGCAGAGGCCGAGCCATCCGAAGCCAACGAGCTGAACCCAGAACCACTGCTTAATGGGTAAGCTCCAATTGATCTGAAATGAGCAATTTTTGAGCTGTCGATTCTTTGCCTTTGGACCAATCGGATGCTCGCACTTAAAGATTGCATTTTTACAAAGCGAGTCTGCAATCAAATGTTCTGTTTGGTTACTGAGAAAATGAAGTGGGGCACAAGAAAATATAGTGAATTTTCTTTTGGGTTTCTAGGGAACTAAACGGAAAGAGAGGATCGGTGAGTTCCAGGTCTTCCTCAGTGACAATACCAAAAACCCGCGATCGTTTGGGAATTGGGGTTTATGCTTAGGAGAGATGGACGAAAATGACCTCAATTTCTTCAATGCATTAGGGCTCCCATTTGGGCCAAATGCTTGTATAAAATTTGTATCTAACAACTTGGTTTGGGCCCAATACTAAACTTTGCCCATAACGAGGACTAACCCTTTTCATTAACGTACCAAATCAAAAGTTAATTGTAATGTTTCATCTTATATCCATTTCTTTAATTCCATTTTCATTTTATATCTCATACTTACAACAAATATCGATCCGTATAAGAAAAAAAAACCAAATATTGATTGTCTAGGAAAGAGACAATTAGCAGATGTGAATTAGGCCAGTGGGCACGAAAGTAAACTCATATCATAGCACTCAAGTTTGAATCTCTATACCCGTAAACTAGATTAATTCAAAGAAGTTTAGAGTATTACACCGTCTAAATTATTGCCCCATATAACTACTACGTTTTGTTTCATCTTATTTCCTAATTAAAGAGATAGAGGAATATTATCAAGCATTCTGCAACCAATAGTGAGCACCTATGGTGCTGCATTACAAGGAGGAGGGGCTGGACCAGATCTGCAACAGCTACAAACAATAGATTCCTCGAGACTTTTTTTTTCCCTTCTCAGCAATTGTCGCCTCCCCCTAGATTCCTCTCCTACACATCTTTGAACATAAAGTTGAAAAGTTGCATCACCCACATAGAAAACTTTATGTACATGATATTCAAATAATAAACAGTCAACAAAACCCACATTGGAAAACCAAACCCAACACCAAACTCTTCCACCTTCACGTTTATTATAGACTTATAGTTTTTGACTGGTCTGGTCATCTTTTGAACAAATCTGGTGAACAAATGGCCTTGTATAAGTA